GTTCCCGGGGAGGCTCAGGGGGCGCGCGGCCAGCATTGTGGCGCATGCGGTGGCGCAGCTGCGCGGGCGCGAGCGGCGGGGGCACGGGCGTGGGCAGGGGCAGGGGCGCGGGGGCACCCGCCGCGGGCGCGGGGGCGCGGGCCCGGGCGATGATCTGCGTGCACTCGTCGATGACCGTCTGGATGCGCAGCACGGACGCGGCCGTGAGCACCTGCAGCGCCTCGCCCTGCGCCACGACCAGCGAGCCGCTGTAGAGGAACTCGACCGAGCTGGCGCACCGTCTGCGCGGGCACCACGGGCGGCACGCGGATCTCCGAGTGGCCGAGCAGCAGCTTTGTCCTGGAAGAAGGGCGAGCCGGCGGCCAGCACGCAGCGGTGCGCGCGCAGCGAGGCCTCGCGGATGCGCACGGTCACGTCGCAGAAGTGCCCGCCCAGCCGCTGGCCGTTGAGGGTCTCGAGCAGCGAGCGGGAGAAGTTCTGCAGGTGGATGTGGTGCACCGCCTCGGCCGCCGCCATCTGCATCGGATGAAGGGGGTGAGGGGAGGTCAGACAGGGACCCCTCTGCCCTAGTGTCCCCGTTTCGCCAGCTCTGGTCGCGGGACAGGGCGAACCTCAGCCCCCCACCCCCTCCAAAACGGACCTTGCAGGGCTCCACCCAGCGCACAGGCCTCAGCACGACCCCCCTTCCCCTCCCCCCCCCACACACACTCTCTCCAGGACTCCTGCCTGCCTTGCCATCTCCACAGCTCCCTGCAGACCCATGGGAGAGGGATGGGAATATCAAAGGTCTACACCCAGGGCCCTGACCGGTGTGGCTCAGTGGATAGAGCGTCGGCCTGTGGACTGAAAGGTCCCGGGTTCGATTCCGGTCAAAGGCATGCACCTTGGTTGCGGGCACATCCCCAGTAGGGAGTGTGCAGGAGGCAGCTGATGGATGTTTCTAACTCTCTATCCCTCTCCCTTCTTCTCTGTAAAAAAATCAGTAAAATATATTAAGAAAAAAGATCTACACGCAGGGCCCTGGCTCAGTGGATGGAGCTTAGGTCTGCAGACTGAAGGGTCCTGGGTTGATCCCGGTCAAGGGAACATGCCAGGGTTGTGGGCTCCATCCCCACCCAGTAGGGGGCGTGCAGGAGGCAGCCAATCAGTGATTCTCTCTCATCATTGATGTTCCCATCTCTCTCCCTTCTTCTCTGAAATAAAATACATATATATATGAAAAATGAATATATTTTTAAAGGTTTACACCCCGCCTCCCCCTCCCCCAGTGCTGCTTACTACCCAAGCAGGCGAGGTAAGCTCCAGGGCCGGGTCCCCTGTCTCGGCCCACGCACCCAGCCTTCCCCCAACTCCAATACCTTTCAATCAATCTCCCTGCATCCCCTCCAGGGGGCAGCTCTGCGGAGACCAGGGCAGAGACCTGCACCCTGCACTGGCTCACAGACCACCCCAGATGGCTGCACCCCCTCCACTGGGCTGCTTTCTGATCCGCCCCTGCCTCACACCCCAACCTCAGAGCATCCGCGGCCGGGACCCGTCTGCTGCCTCAGAACCGGGGGTTTAACATGGAGGCCTTCGCGGGGTGGGGTGGCAGGAGGTGTGCCCTGGACTGAGTGACCAGGGCTGTGCACAGCCACACAGGGTTCGGAGTAGGAGGGGCATTGGCCAAGCAGCTGCCCCACGGGAGGGAAACACGTGGTTTCTGCCCCCATCCCCCATGGATGGGAATACGGAGGGGGCCTGTGTGCAGAGAGGGGCTTGTGTGGCCTGTGCAGGGGTGTGTGATCGGGTGGGTGCAGGTGGAGCATCGCTGAGCAATATGGCCTCACTATCCCAGCACTGCCCACCCGCAGGCACTAGAAAGAGGGGTTACCACCCCCCAAGGGATTCTGGGAATCTGAGCAGCTCTATTTCCCCCGTCAAGTGGGCACCACGCTCTCTCAGCTTCAGTTTCCCCTCCATCCACCTCGCTCACCTCACTCCCAGGCCACACACCTCCAGGTCGGGGAGGAGGTGAGCCCGGCCTGGCCCACGCAGATCTGACTCACCCCTGCAGCTCCTCAAGCCCGAACCCTCTTTGCAGAACCCACCCCCCTTCCTTGCACGCCCCACATCGAGCCCCTGAGACCGCTGCACACACCTCCACCGCCCCCCCCACCCCCCACCGGCGGGGACTGCTGGATGCAGGGACCGCTCCTTCCCCACCCCCCACCTCTGGGTCTGTTCCCCACGCGGTCGCCAGGGGGTGCCTGCTCCTTCCTATAGGTCCGTATTCCCTCGGGCAGAGCCAGCCCTGCGAAGAAAGAAGTACCTGGTGAGTTTGCAAAAGAGGCAAGACTGTGCTTGCTTTGGTAATCGCGGCGGAAGTCAACCCCCGATCCATTAGCCGACACTGAGCAGCTCGCAATGTAGGCACGACGTAGGGTCAGTGAGCTATGCATCAAGTCCGGATGGGGGAATGAGGTCTTTTGACTACAGCTGGCTCCAGGGAATATCCCAGAGAGAGTACAAAAGCCTCTGAGAAGGACGTGAGAGAAGCCTAGCACTGGGCAAAAGATATGAACGCAGTGGTAAGAAGATCGTGGCAGGATGGCACGCCTAAGAGGCGATCAAGCATGCGAGTCGCAAACGGGTGATTCGATTCTAGGACAGGATGACGGATTGCTGAGGATTGAAAAGTAAAGTTTCACTGTATGCAACTAAGGGGGGAGAC